AACTTTTTTTGGTATTGGGTTGGAAAAAGCCTCATAATTTTATTTCCGAACTTCAGATTGGCTTCAAATTTGCCTTGTTTGATGAAAACATCCTGGTTAATAAATCCTGAAAGTTTGAAATCGATCTGATACTCCGAAGTATTTTTCAGGATTTTTTAAAGGTGATTTAACGTGAATTTTCCAACTTTTTCTGGTATTAAGTTGAAAAAAACCTTATTATTCTATTTCTAATCTTCAGAATGGCTTCAAATTTGCCTTTTTTGATGAAAACATTCTGGTTAATAAATCCTGAAAGTTTGAAATCGATCTGATACTCCGAAGTATTTTTCAGGATTTTTCAAAGGTGATTAAACATTAATTTTCCAACTTTTTCTGGTATTAAGTTGGGGAAAACCTTATAATTCTATCTGTAAGCTTCAGATTGGCTTCAAATTTGCCTTGTTTGATGAAAACATCCTGGTTAATAAATTCTGAAAGTTTGAAATCGATCTGATACTCCGAAGTATTTTTCAGGATTTTTCAAAGGTGATTAAACATTAATTTTCCAACTTTTTCTGGTATTAAGTTGGAGAAAACCTTATAATTCTATCTGTAAGCTTCAGATTGGCTTCAAATTTGCCTTGTTTGATGAAAACATCCTGGTTAATAAATCCTGAAAGTTTGAAATCGATCTTATATTCCGAAGTATTTTTCAGGATTTTTCAAACGTGATTTAATGTGAATTTTCGACCTTTTTTTGGTATTGGGTTGGAAAAAAGCTCAGAATTTTATTTCTGAACTTCAGATTGGCTTCAAATTTGCCTTGTTTGATGAAAACATCCTGGTTAATAAATCCTGAAAGTTTGAAATCGATCTGATACTCCAAAGTATTTTTCAGGATTTTCAAAGTTGATTAAACATGAATTTTCCAACTTTTTCTGGTAATAAGTTGGAAAAAACCTTATTATTCTATTTCTAAGCTTCAGATTGGCTTCAAATTTGCCTTGTTTGATGAAAACATCCTGGTTAATAAATCCTGAAAGTTTGAAATCGATCTGATACTCCGAAGTATTTTTCAGGATTTTTTAAATGTGATTTAACGTGAATTTTCCAACTTTTTCTGGTATTAAGTTGAAAAAAACCTTATTATTCTATTTCTAATCTTCAGAATGGCTTCAAATTTGCCTTTTTTGATGAAAACATTCTGGTTAATAAATCCTGAAAGTTTGAAATCGATCTGATACTCCGAAGTATTTTTCAGGATTTTTCAAAGGTGATTAAACATTAATTTTCCAACTTTTTCTGGTATTAAGTTGGGGAAAACCTTATAATTCTATCTGTAAGCTTCAGATTGGCTTCAAATTTGCCTTGTTTGATGAAAACATCCTGGTTAATAAATTCTGAAAGTTTGAAATCGATCTGATACTCCGAAGTATTTTTCAGGATTTTTCAAAGGTGATTAAACATTAATTTTCCAACTTTTTCTGGTATTAAGTTGGAGAAAACCTTATAATTCTATCTGTAAGCTTCAGATTGGCTTCAAATTTGCCTTGTTTGATGAAAACATCCTGGTTAATAAATCCTGAAAGTTTGAAATCGATCTGATACTCCGAAGTATTTTTCAGGATTTTTCAAAGGTGATTAAACATTAATTTTCCAACTTTTTCTGGTATTAAGTTGGAGAAAACCTTATAATTCTATCTGTAAGCTTCAGATTGGCTTCAAATTTGCCTTGTTTGATGAAAACATCCTGGTTAATAAATCCTGAAAGTTTGAAATCGATCTGATACTCCGAAGTATTTTTCAGGATTTTTCAAGGGTGATTAAACATTAATTTTCCAACTTTTTCTGGTATTAAGTTGGAGAAAACCTTATAATTCTATCTGTAAGCTTCAGATTGGCTTCAAATTTGCCTTGTTTGATGAAAACATCCTGGTTCATAAATCCTGAAACTTTGAAATCGATCTGATACTCCAAAGTATTTTTCAGGACTTTTCAAAGGTGATTTAATGTGAATTTTCGACCTTTTTTTGGTATTGGCTTGGAAAAAAGCTCAGAACTTTATTTCTGAACTTCAGATTGGCTTCAAATTTGCCTTGTTTGATGAAAACATCCTGGTTAATAAATCCTGAAAGTTTGAAATCGATCTGATACTCCGAAGTATTTTTCAGGATTTTTCAACGGTGATTTAATGTGAATTTTCAACCTTTTTTTGGTATTGGGTTGGAAAAAACCTCATAATTTTATTTCTAAGCTTCAGATTAGCTTCAAATTTGCCTTGTTTGATAAAAATATCCTGGTTGATAAATCCTGAAAGTTTGAAATCGATCTGATACTCCGAAGTATTTTTCAGGATTTTCAAAGGTGATTAAACATGAATTTCCAACTTTTTCTGGTAATAAGTTGGAGAAAACCTTATCATTCTATCTCTAAGTTTCAGATTGGCTTCAAATTTGTCTTGTTTGATGAAAACATCCTGGTTAATAAATCCTGAAAGTTTGAAATCGATCTGATACTCCGAAGTATTTTTCAGGATTTTTCAAAGGTGATTTAACGTGAATTTTCTAACTTTTTTTTGGTATTGGGTTGGAAAAAAACCTCATAATTTTATTTCTGAACTTCAGATTGGCTTCAAATTTGCCTTGTTTGATGAAAACATACTGGTTAGTAAATCCTGAAAGTATGAAATCGATCTGATACTCCGAAGTATTTTTCAGGATTTTTCAAAGGTGATTTAACGTGAATTTTCCAACATTTTCTGGTATTAAGTTGGAAAAAACCTCATAATTTTATTTCTAAGCCTCAGATTGATTTCAAATTTGCCAACAGCGTTGCCAACATTTGTATAAAGTTGACAGTCTAGTTATTACTAAAAGCCGGGTTTTCAATAGCAAGTTATTTCCGGGTTAAGCATAATACCAAGGTAAACATTGGAACTGGATACGTTTACCCTAGATTCCAAACCAAGCTGGAGGAGACTCGTTATTGAGAAATTGACCCTAAGATTTCCTATGTTCAAAAATGGCAACAGTGCAAAAATTTGAATTTTCAGTGCTGCCAACACAAAATGATTCAGAAAGTGAGAAAAATCTCGTTGGTCGTGGAAATATATTGCTGTTTTCTATGTAGTTTCATGCTAATGCCACATTTTCTCGAAACTAAATCAATATTTACTGAAATGGAGATTTGATTCGGACAATAACAAAATCGTCCATGTAGGAATCGGACATATTGAACAATGTGTGTGAAGGGTACCCCCCTTGGATTCCTATTTCAAAATCTTTAAGCTTCAATATCTTGAAATCCGTGAGAGATATTGAGTCAAATTTTTCAGGAATTGGCTTTTATTAAGCTCTAAAAAACCTGTATTGGAAAATATTTTCAAATTTATAGTTTTTGAGAAAATTTAGTTTTTGACTGAAATTCAACAAAAATTATTTGAGCTATCGAACTCAATTTAACACAGATTTATAGAGAATTTAATGCTCTTTCCGATAGTGTATAATTTATTTTGGTTTGTTTAAATTTTGATGGAAATATTGGCAAGTTTTGTTAACATTGCCTTTAACATGATGATTCAAAAAAAAAATCAGAACCAACGAATGAACAGTTTCTTCTACAGAATTTTCAAAGTTGAAATTTGTTTCCTCTAACACAAAACCTATTAGAGCTAGAGAAAAAACTCTTCTTACAAAATTTTCGAGAACTGATAGAGCTACAAGCATAGTTTCTTTTATAGAAAACTTCAAACTCAAAATTTGAACAATAGTAGCTCTATTATTGCCCAATTTCTATACCTACTGAGGCTCTTGATTTCTCAATCACAAATCCTAATAATCTTCCTTTCTGCCAATTTGAAACAATCCTTGAAGATTGAAACCTGCCTCAATCTACAACACTGAAGTTAATTTTCTAACTAATAAATATTTATTTGAATAGTTGAAAAAAAAAAGGCAATTATTATTACAAGAATTGTCCGTTTTAATTGCAACAAACGTATAAATATTCCATGCCTTTTGCCTATGTACAATTTTTATGGGCAATTTGTTTATATTATTTATTCAGAAACCAATCACTTAAGGATCTATGCGCTACTAGTTCAATGGCAATTGCCATCAAATGAAAGCGATATTATTTATTTATACTTGAAATAATGCGTATAACCAATAACCATAATAAATTCAAATTAATAAAGGTGAGAGCTGAAAATATTTTTGAGATAATTTGTTTGCGAACAATGAAATTACATTGCACTTTCTTCTGTTACAATTTTCATCGATTTTTTTTTGTAATAATTATTGTGTGAACATTATTTCTTGATGATCATAGGATTTCGATTTCCTCTCGAGAATGCAACAAACCGCCGGTAGAAATTTCGCCCGAGACCATTTATAGAAAATGAGGAATTATATAGAAAAAATGACAAAAACAACGAATAATTACCAACAAAATAGCTAAGAAAGTGTTGTTGAAATTACCATCTGATGGCTGATTAAGTAAATTTTTTTTAATTAATATGTAATTACAATTATACTGTGACAATGGTACTTCATTGTACGGTACCGACTATATTTACATAACGTATTATCGATTCGTTTTAACCTGATTGTGTCGGTTATGTTATGATGGTCCTCAATTAAAAATCATTTTCGCGTTAAAAATTATGTAACTGGATGTTCACTTTTACTATACGGTTTATATAATATACCAGAAATATTTATTCGGGTGTAAAACAATGAACAATATATACAAATTATTAGTGACCTCATAGAAATTGTATTTATCACAAAACGTTTATAGTGAAAGCCAGGCTTCAAAGAGAGATAAATTTCGCCCATCTGTCTCTGGTGATTGAAAATAGCAATTTACTTACTTGACAAGACGGTATAGCATAATTAAAACATTTCTCAGTCGTTTATTTTTATTAGTATAGCAGTTGGCTAGTTTTGCTCTGAGTACCACACTTTATTTTAAGGTCTATTTTCACAAGAGAACAGAGCTTTATTAATTTTCTTTTGTAGCCTTCTCCTAGAACAAGTTCGGATGGTGATGGAAATGACTCAAATGGGGCCCCAAAACCTAAATTCGTGGCGGTCACAAATCTGGAAGACGTGCAGGCCGTTAGGTGTGCAGAATTCCATCCTAATGGTCAGCTTTATGCTGTGGGATCCAACTCCAAGACGCTCAGGATATGCGCTTACCCGAAACTCAATGACCTCAGGTAAGGATTTTTTGGATTTTTTAAATGAAGCTTTGAAGATACATAACTTGTATTTTTCAGCAGTTTTTCTGTTTACTGCTCATTTTTTGTAGTTACTTAAGCCCGTATTACATCTTCTTATCTATTTTTTGGTGAATTTCTTTATGTAAAAAAAAAATACATGAAGAAATATAATGGAAAAATACATAGATGTAATATGCGCTTTATTGGGTGTGTTAACTTAAGTTAGGCAAGTTTCTTTCTTAACAAGATGTTTTCGAGATATTCTGAAAAATATTCAGAATCTGTAGAGTTCTTTGAAGTTTCGAAATCTCTAGATTTGTCAGTGTCTATAGGATCTTTATGGAGATTAAATTTTTAGTCCTCGACTCATCATCCTAAAATTTTGAAAAATGAATGTCCAGAATCTTGAAAATTTTCACTTTGCAATGTCGGGATATTACTCTATTTCTGTGGGCTGGGATTCTGTAACGGATAAAGATCGTTATATCCCTATTGCTATTGCAGTTGCTGTCTTCTTCTCTCTTCTTGAAATCAATAGAGAGGGAGCGTCGATAGAGATAGAGAAAATATATCTACAAAGTCCCAGCACTGAGCCTTTATAAGAGTCTCCAGATTTCGAAGAAATCTTTAGTCTGGTCAAAGTCTTAAGTAAGAGTCAAAATATTGTCGCGGCTTTGGATCGCCGGACAGAAATCTTGGGTTCGTCGTTCGTTTCGTTTATTCCAAAAATCAAAGTCCAATTAACACAGCAATAATTTATTCCACTTAACAATACACTCTGACACTAATTACTTTAATAACTAACTCAACAATTGAACTTTACAACTCAATAATCACTATTTAACTCGTATCACAGTCAAACTTTAACTTAACTTACAAATCAATGCCGGCCTTCTTATATATCCCTAATTCTATTCCTGTAAAATCTAGAATACACACGATAATCTAATTTTCCAGATAAAAGTAGAATAATTTGCTAAATTCTAGTATTTTCACCATCGATTCTTGACAGCCTGGCGGACGATATCGTGACAATATTTTACCGAGACCTCAGAATCTTACTAGTGTCTCTTTTCCACTCACTAAATTTATAATATCATTCTTTATTATTTTATTATTCCAGATTCTTGATTGGCTAAACTCAGAAATTAGAAACCCACTCAAACGCCGAGAATAATAAAAATTCGAGTCACAATTTTTTTTCATCCTACTTTATCTGGGTCTCTTTCTTACTGATTGACTTTCTTACATTATTATTTAGTATCTATTTTATTATTCCAGGCTCTTGATTGATAAGACAGAAAAATCAGTTTACTCAAGCACTGGGAATACGGTACAATTTATTTTTTCTATGAGTATTGAATAATATGCGTAATATACATCCTGGTCTCATTACTCCACTATTTAGGAGCCAATCAGGAATTTCAATTTTGTTATGAAAATTAAATAAAAACCGCATAACTCGTGCCTATATTATCATAGAAAAAGTACATAATTATAGTATTCTACTCGTGGGTAATGGCTATTATTCGTTCGGATGATTACACTACTCGCCTGCGGTTCGTAGTGCAAACTTCATCCTTCGTGAGTAATAGCTATCATTTATCCGCTCGTTGAATAATATACTATTATCCTACTTTATTCATGTCCTCCTCTCACTCATTGAATTTCTTATATCGTTGTCTTTTACTCTATTATTCTCCTCCGCTCGAGTGAGCTCTGTCTGACCAATCAAAGGTTTGGAATAAGGGAATAACAAACAATGATGTAAGAAGTTTAACGAGTAAGAAAGAGACAGATAAAGTAGGAAAAAAAATATGTGACACAAATTTCTATTATTCTTGGCACTTGAATGGAGTTTCGATTTTTGTGTCTGACCATTAAGGGCCTGAAACAACAATATAATAAATTCAATAAGTAAGAAAGTGACACAAAGTAGAAAAAAAAAATTGTCAAATAATTTTTTACCCTACGACTATTATTTGTGTCTCTCTTGCACTCATTGAATTTATAATATCGTTCTTTATTATTTTATTATTCCAAACTCGTGAATTAAAAACCCACTCAAGCGCCAAGAATAATGAAACTTCGAGTCACAACTTTGTTTTCTCCTAATTTATCTGTGTCTCTTTTTTACTGATTGAATTCCTTACATCATTATTTAATATTTTACTATTCCAGGCTCTTGATTGGTAAGACACAAAAATCATAAGGTTACTTAAGTGCTGGGAATACGCACAATTTTTTTTTCCTACTTTATATTTGTCCCTCTCTTACTCACTGAATTTCTTATGTCGTTGTCTCTTAATCTTTTATTCTCGGCGCTCGAGTGGGCGCTGTCTGACCAATCGAAAGCCTGAAATGATAAAATAACAAGCAATGATGTCAGAAATTCAATCAGTAAGAAAGAGACACAGATAAAGTTCGTGAATTGTGACTGACCTAAGGGCCTAATTTATAGTCGTTCCTTGGGTCTTCCTTGGAGGTCGTGAGTTTAGAATTGACACTTGCTACTATTTGAAAAGTCAATCATGTCTATTCTAAACGTTCAAAGCTTCCTTAAGGTTTGAGGAAACCTTAAGAAAGGAATATAAATTCGGCCCTAAAGCTTAGAGCAGGTAAAGCGCTGTCCTACGGACATAAGGAATAGGAACTGCTTATGAAACTGAAGCGAAGCCAAATTTCTGGCAGGCGTTTGGTACCAAAATACAGGTAAAACATCGAATTGCCTATACCGCCATTTTTTTGGTGCACAAATACCTGGAAGAAAAACGGCTTCATTTTCCAATTCCATGTTACTACTCCTCTTTACCTTTACCTGCTCTAAGGCCTAAAGCAACAAAAAACAACAATATAATAAATTCAATAAGTAGGAAAGTGACACAAAAGAGAGAAGATGAAAATTCGAGTTACATTATTTTTTCATCCTACTTTATCTGTGTCTCTTTCTTCCTTATTGAATTTCTTACATCATTTTCTGGATTCTATTAGGAAAACTAGGAAAAAATCCAAATAGAAGTATAAGTTACCATTCTCCGAATATTTTCACTTTACCTCCATGAAAATTTTACCACCGTCTTTTTAGGAAAAACTTGAAATGATCTCAAGACTTGAGAAAAATTGAATTTTGACTTTTTGGAGAAGACATTTCTGAATGGAGAACTATGAAGAAATATTCAAAATTTAGGAAAATCTGAACATTTTTTGAATATTTAGGATTTTCAATTTACCTCTATTAGGATTTTACCATCAGCATAAGCGCAACTAGGCTCCAAATTTGAGGGGTGTTGCAATACCATTTTTTTTTTCTTTGATGGAGTTTGATGGAAAGAAAATGAGACACGTAAAAAAAGTTAGTTTTACGAGGGTTTGTACTTACGTCATCATTTGCCTTATTTTTTTTAAAAATAGGTTTTTTTATGTCTGAAATTTTAAACAAACATATAATTCGTTGCACGGCACGAAGGTTTTTACTTAGGTCATCGATGACGTCATAACTTAGAAAAAAAGTTAAGTCATAAATTAATTCATAGAACACCGTCGGAATTATTGTTTTGTAATACATTTTTTAACTTGATGATGAATAGAGTTTATTCAGTTATCTGAAAATATATAAATACATTTCTCCTGGAATGATTTTTCACTGGAAAATTTTGAAATTTTCCTCTAATGAGCTCTTCACTTTCCTCTTTCTCCTGTAAAAATTTCAAAATTTTCCCGTTGCCAGTTTTCCAGAAAAAAATTAAAATGTAAGAATTATTCCTGGAGTGATTTTGCACTGGAAAATTTTGACATTTTCCTATAATGAGCACCTCACTTTTCTTTTTCTTCTAGAAAAATTTTACAATTTTCCCTTTACCAGATTTCTAGAGAAAAATTAAAATGTAAGAAGGTGAATTCTCCTTAATTTTGCTTAAAAAAGTTTCGGAGTGGAGTGATTTTTCATTTCGAAAAATTTCGAAATTTTCGTAAAATGAGCTCCTCATTTTCCTCTTATTCCTGGAAAATTTTTAAAATTTTCCTTTTGCCAGTTTTCCAGAAAAAAATTAAAATGTAAGAGGTGAATTTTCCTTAATTTTACTTGAAAAAGTCAATTTTTCAGAATTTTTCCTGGAGTGATTTTTCACTGGAAAATTTTTAAATTTTCCTTTAATGAGCTTCTCACTTTTCTTTTTCTTTTGGAAAAATTTCACAATTTTTGCTTTGCCAGTTTTCCAGAAAAAAATTGAAATGTGAAAGGATGAATTTTGCTTAAAAAAGTCAATTTTCCAGAACTTTCCTCTCGACTTTCCTTGGAGTGATTTTTCACTAGAAAATTTTGAAATTTTCCTTAATGAGCTTCTCATTTTCTTCTTTCTCCTGGAAAAATTTCACAAGTTTTACTTTATTAGTTTTCCAGAAATAAATTGAAATGTGAGAGGATGAGTTTTTCTTAATTTTACTTGAAAGTAATTTTTTCAGAATTTTTTCTGGAGCGATTTTCCATTGGAAAATTTTGAAATTTTGCTATAATGAGCACTTTACTTTCCTCTTTTTTCTGGAAAATTTTCACAGTTTTTCTTTTGCCAGTTTCCCAGAAAAAAATTTAAATTTTAGAGGGTGAATTTTGCCTAAAAAAGTCAATTTCCCAGAATTTTTCCTGGAGTGATTTTCCACTGGAAAATTTTGAAATTTTCTTATAATGAGCTTTTCACTTTTCTTTTTCTTCTGGAAAAATTTCACAATTTTCCCTTTGCCAGATTTCTAGAAAAAAATTAAAATGTAAGAGGGTGAATTCTTCTTAATTTTGCTTATAAAAAGTTAGTTTTTCAAAATTTTTCCTGGAGTGATTTTTCATTGGAAAATTTTGAAATTTTCGTAAAATGAGCTCCTCATTTTTCTCTTATTCCTGGAAAATTTTTAAAATTTTCCCTTCCAGAAAAAAATTAAAATGTAACAGAGTGAGTTTTTTAAAATTTTGCTTGAATAAGTTTTTTAGAACATATTTGAGATTTCAGTCATAAAAAAAACAAAGAATCACCCTTTGCCGTTTGTACATGATATTTAGGAACACCCTGTATAATACGCCGTTAATTAATTTATATATTTGGGACTTCAATGATTTTTTAAGGGCCGGTATTTCAATGTCACCTTAAGATATAGAATAAATATAGACATTGACAACATTGTCTGACCTTGTTTGATGACGTCATCCTAAATATAACATAAAAACCCTATATTTTAGGGTACTTAAGTCTTGATTTTAAAGTAATATTGTAATACCGGCCCCGGTTGAAAAAAATTATTCCATAACAATAATAATTGCGAACGTGCTCTATGAATTAATCAACGACAAATACTTTTTTCTAAATTATGACGTCATCGATGACGTAAATAAGTACAAAAAGTGCAAAAAGAAATAATAATAATTTGGTTGATGATCTCAAAACTGGAGAAAAATTGAATTTTGACTTATTGAAGAAGACATTTCTGAATAGAAAACTATGAAGAAATTTTCAAAATTTAGGAAAACCAGAAATCCAAAAAAACTTTTACCTACTGAGTATTTTGTGGGTATTTACGATTTTCAATTAACCTTTATTAGGATTTTACCACCAGCCTAAGAAAAACTTCAAATGATATCAAGATTCGAGAGAAAAACTGAATTTTGACTTATTGAAGAAGAAATTTTCTGAATCCTTCCTGGAAAACTATGAAGAAATGTTCAAAATTTAGGAAAACCAGGAGAGGAGTCCAAGAAAACTATAACTGAACATTTTCTGGATATTTAGGATTTTCAATTTAATTCTATTAGGATTTTACCACCAGCCTAAGAAAGACTCCAAATGATATCAAGATTTGATAGAAAAATTGACTTTTGACTTATCGAAGAAGACATTTCTGAATCCTTCCTGGAAAACTATGGAGAAATGTTGAAAAGTTAGGAAAACCAAAAGCGAAGTCCAAGAAAATTATCACCCTAATAGCACAAAATATTCAGAAAATGTTCCAGCAAAGTACTGCGAAAGTTTGAATGTCCTAGACATTGAAGGAATGTTCCTGGAATATCTTTTTAGGTATGTTCACAGAATATTTTATCTCTATATTCTATGAATGTTCTAGGAAAGTCAAGATTTTTTAGACATAAAATGAATGTTCTGTACTCTAGAAATAATAAGCAATAATTTTTATTATTTTTTTCTGTAACAATTTCATAGTAGGTAACTTCTTTTTTGTAAAGAATTAATTTTTTGTTTCTTCTATTCTATTTCTTTGGATATGTATAATAATGTATGTATAATAATGTATATATAATATATATACATATATATCATATACTTAATACCTGTGTATGATTTTGAATGTACCCAACCAAACATTCCTGGTATATCCTAAGTGAATCCAAAAAATATTTCCTGAATGTATGCAGAACATACGAAGATATTTGGTGAATGTTCAATAAAATGTTCACGGAACATCCAAAATGCTGACAAAGGCTTTTCCCTGAATGTTCCCTGAATGTCTTAGAACATTGGGAGACATTCATGGAATGTTCCTTATGTCCTAAATGTATGTTCTGCGAATGTACATGGAATGTTATGTGCTATTAGGGCACCTACTGAACATTTTCTGGGTATTTAGGATTTAATTTACTTCTATTAGGATTTTACCACCAGCCTAAGAAAGACTCGAAATGATCTCAAGACTTGGGAAGAATTAATTCATTGAAGAAGACATTTCTGAATCCTTCCTGGAAAACTATGAAAAAATGTTCAAAATTTAGGAAAACCGAGAGAGGAGTCCAAGAAAACTATTACCTACGAAGCATTTTCTGGATATTTAGGATTTCCAATTTATCTTTATTACGATTTTACCATCAGCCTAACAAAAACTCCAAATGATATCAAGATTTGAGAGAAAAATTGAATTTTGACTTATCTAAGAAGACATTTCTGAATCCTTTCTGAAAAACTATGAAGAAATTTTCAAAATTTAGGAAAACCAAGAGAGGAGTCCAAGAAAACTATAACTGAACATTTTCTGGATATTTAGGATTTTCAATTTACTTCTATTAGGATTTTACCACCAGCCTAAGAAAGACTCCAAATGATATCAAGATTTGATAGAAAAATTGACTTTTGACTTATCAAAGAAGACATTTCTGAATCCTTCCTGGAAAACTATGGAGAAATGTTGAAAATTTTGGAAAACCAAAAGCGAAGTCCAAGAAAATTATCACCTACTGAACATTTTCTGGGTATTTAGGATTTAATTTATTTCTATTAGGATTTTACCACCAACCTAAGAAAGACTCGAAATGATCTCAAGACTTGGGAAAAATTAATTCATTGAAGAAGACATTTCTGAATCCTTCCTGGAAAACTATGAAGAAATGTTCAAAATTTAGGAAAACCAGGAAAGGAGTCCAAGAAAACTATAACTGAACATTTTCTGGATATTTAGGATTTTCAATTTACCTCTATTAGGATTTTACCATCAGCCTAAAAAAGACTCCAAATGATGTCAAAACTTGGGAAAAATTGAAATTTGAATTATTGAAGAACACATATCTGAATGGAAAACTACGAAGAAATGTTCAAAACTTAGGAAAACCAGGAGAGGAGTCCAAGAAAACTATAACTGAACATTTTCTGGATATTTAGGATTTTCAATTAACCTCTATCAGGATTTTACCAGCAGCCTAAGAAAGACTCCAAATGATCTTAGGACTTGAGAAAAGTTAAATTTTGACTTATTGAAGAAGACATTTGTGAATCCTCTCTGGAAAACTATAAAGAACTCTTCAAAAAGACCAAATTCAATCTTCCAGAAAGACATTCCAAAAAATGCAAAAGTTGTAGAAGAAATTTCTAGTTTTTTCTTGAACAACTTGCTCAAAAATTTGCATTTTCAACGTTCTGGATGTTAATAAAGTTGAAAATATTCCTGGAAAATACACCAAACTATTCAAAAAATCAGAAATTACTAAAAACGAATATCGAAACCTTGATTTGAAAACCTAGAAGAAGCTCCAAGACTTAAAAAGTAGTTCTAACTCTCAACTTTTATACATTTTTTAAAAATCCTTGTATATATTTGAAATTCTGTTCACAAACCAATGAATATAGTCCAGAAAAGGCTAAAATAATGAATTTCTGGATATTAAAACACGCACACATACTGATACAATTCACAAGCCTAAAAACCATAAGGACGAATTTGCAAATGGTGAATGATTGAAGAATATATTCCAAGGAAATCCAGAAAAAAAAACCATAAGGATTTTAGATCTTTTGGATAGAAATCTTCATTAGAATTATATTTGCTTCTTACTAGAAAAATTGAATTTTGAACTTCTTGACTTCAAGTGCAAAACTCTGCTGATGATGTAAGAGAAAACTTATAAAAATTCCAGAGATGCCGAAAACTTGTAAGATTCTAAAGCTCTTGGTGTAAAACTTTCGAAAACTCCAAAGACTTTCAAAATATTAGAGATTGGAAAGACTCTAAATATATTAAAAATTATGACTCAAAAAAGCTCCTCCAGTTCTAAAGTTTTTGAAAAGTGTGAGGAACTTAAGACTAATATTATTCGATCATGTATTTATAAAACCGACATATTATCATCTTCATAGTCCAAAAATCCATTTTGATTAGACAATTCTTTTGATTACATGCCTTGACAGCTACTATGTACTTTCAAGGTAAATATTTGTAGCTCCAAATCCCCCTGTAGGTACCAACTTTGCTTACCTACCCTCAAATTATGATTTTTTAATTTAGGGAAGACCACCAAACTTACCAACCAATGGTCCTTTTCAAACGCACAAAACACCACAAAGGCTCTATATATTGCCTGGCATGGTCACCCGTAGGCGATCTAATGGCAACTGGATCAAACGACAAGACTGTGAAACTTATGAAGTTCAACTCTGATACGTCGAATTTGGAAGGAGAAGAGGCAAGTATTTACAATTGCGTATAAAATTTGCAGCTAAAACTTCTTAAATTGTAGATTGAGTTGTCAATGCACGACGGTACAGTAAGGGACATTTGCTTTCTCGAAGACACAACAAACAAGTCCAGTTTATTAATCAGCGGAGGAGCAGGAGATTGTAAAATTTACGTCACAGATTGCGCCACTGGAACACCATTCCAAGCTTTGAGCGGACACACCGGACATATTTTGTCTTTGTACACTTGGGGAGGTAAGTTTTGTTTCTTATACTGATTACTAGAATTCATTTATGTTTCTATTTCAGGTGCAATGTTCGTGAGTGGTTCCCACGACAAAACGGTCCGCTTTTGGGACTTGCGCACTCGCGGTTGCGTCAATATGGTCACCCCTGTAACCCAACCAGGTACCCGACAAGGTTCCCCTGTTGCCAGCTTGTGCGTAGACCCTAGCGGCAGGCTATTGGTGTCCGGCCACGAAGACTCCTCTTGCGTCCTGTATGATATTAGAGGAGGTAGAAACGTACAATGTTTCAAGCCTCATTCGGCTGATATTAGAAGTATCAGATTTTCGCCTTCGGCGTTCTATTTACTCAGTGGTGGTTATGATAATAAATTGGTTCTGACTGATTTGCAAGGAGATCTGACTCTTCCTTTGCCCAGTGTGGTAGTGGCTCAGCACTCTGACAAAGTGATCTCGGGCCGTTGGCATCCTTCGGAGTTTTCGTTTTTGTCTACGTCTGCTGATAAGACGGCCACCTTGTGGGCTTTACCTCCAATATAAATTGCTTTTTTTTTTTAAGTCTGAACTAACCAATTAATTCGCATCTGTTATTTGTTGTTTTTGTCGCTGCACAGATTTAGAGCAAATCGAAGAATAATGTGATGCTATATTAGGTGACCATACAATTTATTTATTAACAATTTATTAATGTATGGCGCAAGGATTGTCAAGCTTCACACTTTGTTATTGTTGTACCACTTCTAATATTTATTTTGTTTGATTGACAAAAGTAAAATTGTACATAGTTTTTGACACCATAAATATTATTTTCATCTACTTATTGTGTATAAATTCGAAAAAACTGTTTATTTTAACGTTGGCTAATTACAGTTTCTTTAACGTTTACTGGTAGACATTGATTATTTATGGTTTATTCATAGTTTACTGAACAAAAAAAAATATTTAAATCTAGTGTTTATTATTAATGTTTGTATTAATATTATTCAAAATAAAATAATATGTAATAACATTGTTTTTTTTTTTAAATCTTAAGCGTGGTTTACATATAGATAGAATTTCCCAGAGTAACGTTTGCGAGCGTTTACATTTACGCTAAACATTGGCACAAAACGAAGAAAGTTGATCAGAAACAATACAAAGCCGAATGTGGGGGGCCAACTTAAGCAAGCCCTAAAGAGAGCAGTTTTAGGACAAATTTGGAACATTTGGTGGTTTTTAAATTAACTCAGAATTTTAGATGTTTTTGAAATGGCTTGAGATCTCTTTGAATCCAAACGATTTGAGAAACATTCGGAATTTCTAAGAAAAAGAGACTTCAAATCCTTTAAAAATCATTCCAGAAGCTTATTTTTAATATTGTTTTCCTTAATTTGATGGCGCTAGCGTTTATGGTTTTTGAGAAAATCGAGTTTGAAGTTTTAGACAAAATGTCGACTAAATTTCAAATTTCAAGCTCAAGATTTTGGAAACCCCACAAGTCACGAAAACCAATTTTGCACAGCCTTAAAGAGAATTTCATGCTCTTTCCAATGATATATGGTTATTATTAATTTGCTCAAAAATAGTGGAAAATATAGGCAATTATTTATGAGCGTGTCAAAAAATCTGCAGAGCCAAAAATGAGAATAAAGAGATTTCCTTTTGGATTTTTTCTCTCATCGAAATTTCCAAATGTAATCGATGTTAGAGTTATTTCTGACTAATTTGGACTCGCTCTATCAATTTCTGAAGTCAAAATTAAGAGAAATGCAAAAATAGAGATTTTCGATTTTTTGCACTTTTTTCTTCGGTTTTCTAATTGGAAATCTTCAATCTTAAATATCTCGGTAACCAAAAACGGTACTGGAACAAAATTTTCAAGAATTGTAGCTCTTCAGAAGGGCTTTCAGATGGTATTTAGCTGAAATTGCATTTATAGTTTTTGAGAAAATCGAGTTTGAAGTTTTGCACAAAATTTTAACTAAATTTCCACTTTGAGGCTCAATATCTTAGACACTTTACAAGGTACAAGAACCAATTTTGCACGGACTTATAGAGAATTTAATGCTCTTTCAAAAGATACATAGTTTTTATTAATTTCCTTAAAAATAATCGATGTTTACAGCCAAAAATGAGATTTCCTTTTGATTTTTTTTTCTCATTGAAATTTCCAAATGTAATTGATGTTAGAAATGTTTCTGACTAATTTAGACTCGCTCTATCCGTTTCTGAAGTCAAAATTAAGAAAAAACCAAAAATAAAAATTTTCAATTTTTTGCACTTTTTTCTAAGAGTACCACCCCCTTTGGATTTTCAATTACAAATCTTCAATCTCAAATATCGCGGTAAACAAAAGCGGTACTGGTACAACATTTCCAGGAATTATAACTCTTTAAGAGGGCTTTTAGGTGGTATTTAGCTGAAATCGCTAGCATTTGTAGTTTTTGAGAAAATCGAGTTTAAAGTTTTGGACAAAATTTTAACTAAATTTCCACTTTGAGGCTCAATATCTTGGAAACTCTATAAGCTACAAAAACAAATTTATCACGAGATTATAGAGAATTTAATGCTCTTTTCAATGATGTATAGTTTTTATTAATTTCCTCAGAAATATTCGAAGATATAAGCAATTATTCATGAGCATGTCAAGAATTAAAAAATGTCCAGAGCCAAAAATGAAATTTCCTTTTGGATTTTTTTTTTTTCATTGAAATTTCCAAAATTAATTGATGTGAGAGTTGTTTCTGACTAATTTGGACTTGCTCTATCGGTTTCTGAAGTCAAAATTAAGAAAAATCCAAAAATAGAAATTTTCAATTTTTTGCACTTTTTTCTAAGGGTAGGTACCTACCCCCTTTGGATTTTCAATTGCAAATCTTCAATCTCAAATATCGCGGTAACCAAAAGCGGTACTGGTACAACATTTCCAGGAATTATAACTCTTTAAAAGGGCTTTTAGGTGGTATTTAGCTGAAATCGCTAGCATTTGTAGTTTTTGAGAAAATCGAGTTTAAAGTTTTGGACAAAATTTTAACTAAATTTCCACTTTGAGGCTCAATATCTTGGAAACTCTAAAAGCTACAAAAACAAATTTATCACGAGCTTATAGAGAATTTAATGCTCTTTTCAATGATGTATAGTTTTTATTAATTTCCTCAGAAATATTCGAAGATATAAGCAATTATTCATGAGCATGTCAAGATTTAAAAAATGTCCAGAGCCAAAAATGAAATTTCCTTTTGGATTTTTTTTTTTCATTGAAATTTCCAAAATTAATTGATGTGAGAGTTGTTTCTGACTAATTCGGACTCGTTCTATCGATTTCTCAAGTCAAAATTGAGGAAAATTCAAAAATAGAAATTTTCAATTTTTTTGCACTTTTTTCTAAGAGTACCACCCCCTTTGGATTTTCAATTACAAATCTTCAATCTCAAATATCGCGGTAAACAAAAGCGGTACTGGTACAACATTTCCAGGAATTATAACTCTTTAAGAGGGCTTTTAGGTGGTATTTAGCTGAAATCGCTAGCATTTGTAGTTTTTGAGAAAATCGAGTTTAAAGTTTTGGACAAAATTTTAACTAAATTTCCACTTTGAGGCTTAATATCTTGGAAACTCTAAAAGCTACAAAAACAAATTTATCACGAGATTATAGAGAATTTAATGCTCTTTTCAATGATGTAAAGTTTTTATTAATTTCCTCAGAAATATTCGAAGATATAAGCAATTATTCATGAGCATGTCAAGATTTGAAAAATGTCCAGAGCCAAAAATGAAATTTCCTTTTGGATTTTTTTTCTCATTGAAATTTCCAAAATTAATTAATGTTAGAGTTGTTTCTGACTAATTTGGACTCGCTCTATCGGTTTCTGAAGTCAAAATTAGGAAAAATCCAAAAATAGAAATTTTCAATTTTTTTGCACTTTTTTCTAAGGGTAGGTACATACCTACCCCCTTTGGATTTTCAATTGCAAATCTTCAATCTCAAATATCGCGGTAACCAAAAGCGGTACTGGTACAAAATTTCCAGAAATTGTAGTTCTTTAAAAGGGCTTTTAAGTGGTATTTAGCTGAAATCGCTAGCATTTGTAGTTTTTGAGAAAATCGAGTTTAAAGTTTTGGACAAAATTTTAACTAAATTTCCACTTTGAGGCTCAATATCTTGGAAACTCTAAAAGCTACAAAAACAAATTTATCACGAGATTATAGAGAATTTAATGCTCTTTTCAATGATGTATAGTTTTTATTAATTTCCTCAAAAATATTCGAAGATATAAGCAATTATTCATGAGCATGTCAAGATTTGAAAAATGTCCAGAGCCAAAAATGACATTTTCTTTTGGATTTTTTTTCTCATTGAAATTTCCAAAATTAATTGATGTTAGAGTTGTTTCTGACTTATTTGGATTCGCTCTATCGGTTTCTGAAGTCAAAATTAAGAAAAATTCAAAAATAGAAATTTTCGATATTTTGCACTTTTTTCTAAGGATACCCCCTTCGGATTTTTAATTGGAAATCTTCAATCTTAAATATCTCGGTAACCAAAAACGGTACTGGAACAAAATTTTCAAGAATTGTAGCTCTTCAGAAGGGCTTTCAGATGGTATTTAGCTGAAATTGCATTTATAGTTTTTGAGAAAATCGAGTTTGAAGTTTTGCACAAAATTTTAACTAAATTTCCACTTTGAGGCTCAATATCTTGGAAACTCTCAAAGCTACAAAAACAAATTTATCACGAGCTTATAGAGAATTTAATGCTCTTTTCAATGATGTATAGTTTTTATTAATTTCCTCAGAAATATTCGAAGATATAAGCAATTATTCATGAGCATGTCAAGATTTGAAAAATGTCCAGAGCCAAAAATGAAATTTTCTTTTGGATTTTTTTTCTCATTGAAATTTCCAAAATTAATTGATGTTAGAGTTGTTTCTGACTAATTTGGATTCGCTCTATCGGTTTCTGAAGTCAAAATTAAGAAAAATCCAAAAATAGAAATTTTCAATTTTTTGCACTTTTTTCTAAGGGTAGCTACCCCCTTTGGAAATCTTGAATCTTAAATATGTCGGTAACCAAAAGCGGTACTGAAACAGAAAATGTAGTCCCTGGTGGGCTACAAGATGGTATTTAGATGAAATCGCTGGTATTTACGGTTTTCGAGAAAATCGAGTTTGAAATTTTGGACTAGACTAAATTTCAACTTGAGGCTCAATATCTCTAAAACTCTACAAGCTACAAACCCAATTTTGCACCGGTATTATCGTATTATAGAGAATTTATTGCACTTTTCAATGATGAATAGTTATTAATTTGTTCAAAAATAATTAAAGATCAATTGAGAAATCTCAGAGTAATTTTAGAACAATAATTGTTGCATAATTATTATGCAACAATTTAGAACTCTATTGAAACAATTTAGAACATGTTGTTCAAATAGGGCTCTAAAATACATAAAAATCTGTCAGGACAATTTAGAAGTTATTGAAAAACTTCTAAAAAGTTCCAAAACTTTTCAAACCAAGCTAGAACACTTTAGAACTTCAATTAGCCATTTAGAACACTTTCCAGCTACATTTTTAACAACTTAAAAACCTCGGAGGCCTAGCGCCTGGGAACAGACAAAAATTGAAAGGTCTGTTCCAAAATCATCTCAAAAACGGTTTCGAAGCCACCCACAAACAAAATTGCATCCTTAGAATGTATTAAGAATGTTCTTTTTTTAGGAGGAATGTGCCTAGAAAGTTCGCCAAAACCATTGCGAATGTCCTGAGAATGTTCTGAGAAAAGATTGTAGAAATACTGTTTGCAATACCCAAGAATTTCCTGGGAAATCCATTAAGATATTCCTAGAATATACCTATGAGATTCTCAGTACATCCTGAAAAGAATATTCCTGTTTGATTCTAAAAATATGCTCGAAATGTACATTCTCATATTCAAAGAATGTTTCATGACATTATAGTTATGTTCTCAAAAGAATATTATACGAATATGCTTGAAATATTCTTAGAATATATCTACATATATCATTCTCAATATGCATCCTAGAAATAACATTCTTGTTTGATTCTAAGGATATATACTTGGAATGTTAATTTTCTTTTCCAAATAATGCTCCTTCCAGTCCTTTTATATTAAAGGCAGTGAAAGAATTGTTGGAAAATTTATCTGGAAAACACAAGTGTTTAGCCAAAGCTCCGGTTTCGAGCTTGTTATGCTCTCGTCGAAGCACGCCAACTGAGAGAAACAGGTTCCAAGGTGATTCAAACGCGAGGCAAGATGTAGATCTTTAATAGCGCGTGGCTCCCTCTCTTGAAAGTCCTACAAAGCAAAAGGAAAAGAATATACCTATAATATTCTTAGTAGGTTCTAGATAGAGCATTATTGTTTAATTGTTCAATTAAGTTTTTGAGTAGGTACTTTAGATAATTAGATGAACAATATGGAAATATTCTTATCATGGGTACCTACCTACATAAACTTCTCAGCACAACTTGGTAAATATATTCTTAATACTTGATAGAGATATTAGCCGAAAGAACATTTTTTAGGGTACATTATAATAATGTTCGTATGAGAATATTCAAATAATGTTATATAAAGTAGGTTCTTAGCACAATCTTTCAGGTAGGTGCATAGAAGCAACATTCCTAGTACATAAATAGAACGTTCAAAAATGAATATTTCAATCGAAACAATCTTAGGATATTCATTGAACATTCCCAAAAGAACATTCCAAAAAGCACTTTGAGGGAATATTCTGAGAATATGAATGTTCTTTCACTGTTATGTGGGCACTTTGTATACGATTTCCAGTGGACTAGTGCCTATCCGGGGATTTTACACGAGCTTTGAAATTACAAATGTAGAATTTTCCGTCTTATTTTATTTCAATTTTTGTCTATTACAGGCTCTTGAATTGGTTTTTATCCAAGAAACAAGATGATGTAGGTAAATTTTAATAATGTATTTTATTTTAAAACAAAATTCTTAATTTTATATAAAATGTACACTATATTAGGGTTTTCCTGTTGTTGCATTGCTATTAACGGTGAAAATTTGTACATTATAGTCGAGGCCCTGATTAAGCTGAGATTTTAGATAAACGGTTACAGCAAAGGTACCGACGCCACCCTCACGAATTGTAGCAAAACCTCCTTTATCGTCATCCATATTGTCTCTTACCTGAAAAAATTTACTATAGTAAAACAGCAATATTTAATTTTCTACTTACAATAATGCAGCCAAGTTTAACTGTATTAATTCCAGTGTCAGGACAGTTTATTGTTTTGGTTATGCGTTGTAAAAATTTGCCACTTTCTTTGATTCTAAAAGTGCAAAGAGCTGGAGTTCTGAAAATAAAAAAGAGAGATTATTCACAATAAACAAAAAAAAAAGACTATTGTTAGACTCTTACGCTAGAGCTGTAGGATCTGGACATTGATAAATACTGTGGGAATCTTCCTTTAGAGCGTTTTGTACTATTATCTCATTGGAAGGTAAACTGTAAGAGTAACTAATCAAAAAGAAGCAGCAGAAAGCCACTTGTAATGATACACTAATTTTTGCCATTTTTTTTTTTTTGGGACAAAATAATTAGGTGTTTTCCTGTTTTTATAGGTTTTCAGGTTCTTTATCAAACTAGATTTTTTCAAGTGGCTATTCAACTTGGCCCAATTGGGTTCAATGAAATTTGGAAATATTTTTACATTGACGTAGGTACTTCAAGAGGTCACAAACTTATATATATTTTAGTCATAATAAACACATTTTTTCATAGTAAATTTATTTGAATATAATAATTTAATTATCTGAGATAAAAATATACAGTTAAGAAAACAAAACAAAAATTGACTACTTATATTTAATTTTAATAGATCTTCTTACCCGTAAATCTATATGTACTTATTTAAAGGAATTCTATCTATTTTACAGACGATTGTGACATGGATTATCCTAAAATTATTTACATCTATTATCAAAAAAATATACTTTTGTTATTTTCAAAACCACCAAAGAACAGACAAATGGTAAATGTGAAGGGCTACAAGGACAAATATAGGCCTTTGTAGGTACATATGTTTAATAACATATTCATTATAACTATAATACTAAGTACATTGAGATTATGCTATTACTTTTTGTTTATATATAAATATATTAAGATTTGATTGGAAAACACTTTTTATTGATTCTCTTTTAGGCCAATCAATAAATTTTTACATTGCTAATTCAAAACACATCCGGAACGAATTTTGAAAATCATTTAACAAACAACTAAAGTTTCAAGATAACATTGAAAATCAATTGAAATTTGAAGATGTTTGCACACACGTGCGTGATAAATAATACAATCAAATTACGCATTAATTAAGAAACACAACAACAAAAAAATGCAAAATTTATTTTTCATCAAACGCAGTCTTGACAAAATACGTGGTAAGAGTCCCTTTGCCCTTAACGTAAGTGGGCCCTCTACACTCACAAGACCAGCCGGCGTTTTTCAAAATTTCGGCAGTGTCCTCTGTCACTTGAATACGGCCCATTATGCCGCATGAATCCATTCTGGATGCTACATTTACCGTGTTACCCCAAATGTCGTATTGGGGCTTTTGAGCTCCTACCACGCCTGCTATGACTGGACCGTGGTGTAATCCTGAAACATATTTTTGATAACTGATGAAGTTGTTCATAATTACTGAATGGAGAATCAAGAAACATTCTCAAAGATTCTCAACGTAAAATAAAAAAATATGGTTCTTGGGTGAGAAAGCAGTAAATCTCCTATTTCCAATCCATGCATGCAACAAAAACTGAAACACCTTGTGAGAACGGCAGTGGCGGCTCGTCAGAGGAGGCAGGGGAGGCTAAACCTCCCCCAAAAAATTGAAAATTCAATCTCAATTTTTTATTCCTGATTTCTAATTAAAATAATAATTCACAAATTACACAACAGAATTCCAATTTTCGATATTTCAATGTAATTTAGAAAAATCTGACAACATTATTTCAATCAATCCCGCGCCTCCATGACAAAAATGCCGGCCCGAAGGGCCGGAGTAATACGAGCCCGAAAGGGCCGGAGTAATACGAGCCCGAAGGGCTAGAGTTATACGCGAGCTCGAAGGGCTACAGTTATTTTAATCACGGGGCTCAGTCTATAATTCTATTGGTCAGCGGATAATTTAGAGCCAATTAAAAACCGGGAGTATTTAAAATGCGATTTTTAGCGTCCGATCATAGAGCCGGAAATATTCAAAAACTTTAGTTTTATCAAATTGACTTTGGAATGTTGGTTTTCTATTGGGTTTTCATAAGATTTTTACTTTTTTCAGAAAACGGTGGTTTTTGCAAACATATACTACTTTATTATTGTCTTTGTCTTACTCACTATAATCAATAAGGAAACCTTGTAATGTCATTTTCATTGAAATTAAACTAAGAACAAGTTTCCGATGCTTTATCTAGAGAATTTTAATGATTATAATCATTATTTAATAATTATTAAATTGACGTGTCTCGCAGAAATAAAAAAAGATAGCTTAATAATTGTAATAAATACAAGTTAGAAAGTAATAAAAGATGACATGCGCGCGCAACTCGTGGCTGCAATGTAGCCAGATTGTATTGTTGCAGAACAAATTTAGACAATACAAATCGAATATTATAACATTAAAGAAGTGAAATAGTGTCAAGTGTTTTACAACGCCTCAAATCAGACAAAAGAAGAGCTTTAAAGTGTATGTTAACATTGTTTGCACTTTTATTTTGATAAATGTTTCATCCGGCAACATCGCCGAATGAAATTGCAAAGGAATATGTCAAATATAATTTAACATAACCTTAAATGACACTGCTGTGAGTTCAAGTAATACGTAAAGTATTAGTTTGCTCTTTGTTGAATTACACGTTACAAAGAAAGAAGGAACGATTATTTCTGAACTCGTCCCTGAATACGAATATGACACAAGTCTGTAACAAACTCGATTTTTATTGGACGCTCACCTGCAACCCACGAGTTGCGTGCGCACACCAGGTATTACGAGACACATTTTACAGAATTTTAAACAATAAACCCTTTTAAAATGTTATTTTTGTTTTCCGAGATGAGATGTGGCAACGTTGCTTTTAGTTGGCCATTTTGAAGTGACGTCTGGTGATTTTTTGTCAGTTTTTTCCCGAATTTACGACTTTTCCGGGTTTTTTTTAAGGAAAAAAGCGATTTAACATACGAGGCTTTGAGTTTTCTTCATTTTCTACTAAAAATTTCCGGAGTAAGCAACAAAAAATTTAATTTTAACAAGCAGGCTTTACAATGTAATTTTTAGAGGTTTTTCTCTAGATTTTTCGCCGTTCCAGGGTTTTTTCGGTCGGGAAAACCGATTTAAATTACGAGGCTTTGAGTTTTCTTCATTTTTTAGTAAAAATTTCAAGTTTTAAATGCCATAATTAGCAAAATCCCATTTAAAATATTTTTGATTTGGCAACATCGCTTGTGACTAATTTCAATCAAGGAAGCATTTTTGGTAGTCGACCATTTTCAATTGACGTTTTTACATTTTTATTCAGTTTTTCTTCAAATTTCCACTTTTCCGGGGCTTTTTCAGTCGGGAAAATTGATTTAAAGTACGAGGCTTTGAATTTTCTTCATTTTCCACCAAAAATTTCCAGTGTTTTAACGGGGTAAGTGAGAAAAACTTTAGTTTTATCAAGTAGGTTTTGGAATGTCATTTTCATTGTTTTTTTTTTAGAATTTTTATTTAAGGTTTTTGGGGTCCGGGGATCGTTTTCTACCACTTTTTTTTCTCGAAATTCGCAAAATTTAAAAAAAAACTTTTTTGACGTTGACAGCTGTCAATTTTTTTTGACACAAATCGATAGTTGGCGTCGTGAAACTGCCTTGTACCGGGGTTTGATTTTCGTAGCTTTTATAGTAGAGCGGGGAAAAAGTCGAACATGTGTCAAATTTGACAGGTGACATTTGTAGATATTGCCAAAGTGTTGTGCGACAAAAGTTTTATCCGAACGAACCCGTTCATTGTTAACTGATTTTAATACTCCGGCCCTTAGGGCCGTAATCTTTAAAACAAAAAAGACGTCATTTTGTATTGATTGTCAAAAAAACCCAAGATTTGAAATTTCAATTTTTTGACGTTTGTTGTATCATGAGCAGTGTTGCCATATGTTTTTTTTTTCAAATCTCGAGCTCGACGGGCCGAGATTATAGCAATTATAGGTTATTTTAAAGCCAATCAAGAGCCGGGAATATTCAAAATTTATATTAAAAATTCCTTGAAGTTTCATTGGACTTTCGAGAAATTTTCGGCTATGAACGTGGATATTTTCATAAAATTTTAGTGAATTTAGAGAAATTTTTAAGAAATTGCGTAGAATTTTATGAAAATTTTGTAGAATTCCAGGATATTTCAGTGGTAAAATTTTGAGGAATTTTAGTAAAGTTAAAAAAAAAAAAAATGGAATTTTGAAATTGAAATCTTAGTGGAATTCCGAGGAATTTCATGAAATCCAATACTGTGATTCCGAAAAAAAATTGTCCAAGAATTCCATAAAATCTTCTAATGAAATGTTAAGGTATTTATTTCCATGGAATTATCTAAAATTTTCGCGGAATTCCCACGGAATAACTTAAAATTTTAATGGTATTCTAAAGAACTTTGATGAAATCTTCGAAAGGTTAATCACTCCCCGAAATCGTGTCACAAATTCGTCCGAAATTCACGAAATTACTGCGAAATCCCTTCGGAATCTTTCAGAAATCTTTCCGTAAACCAAAAAATCTCTCGCAATTGGCTCAAAATTCATAAATCATAATCACTGAAAAATCTTAAAAATCTTTTAGCCTTCTCACTTAAAATAGTCACGAGCCGCCACTGGAGAACAGGTTCTTACCAAATCTGAGTTTGAATCTTTGGAAAGCGTCTCGATTGATTTGTTCCAGGCTGGTCATTAGGCAAATCGCAAATTCCACTAGGGCTACTATGATATGTTCAGCTTTTCTTGTTGCTTCCTAGAATAAAAATATAATTAGATATAGGTAAATGGCGTTTTTATGAAGGTTTATACATAAACAATGTATTTATGTCCGATTGACCAATAAAGTGCTATTTATAGAACAGTTTTGCGTCAATAAAGTAGCACTTTATTGTACTAGTAAAATAAAGTGCTACTTTATTTTACTAGTAAAATAAAGTGCTACTTTATTGCCTACCTGGACTACCTGACAAGTTGAAACAGGTCCTGACAACCTGCCAAGGTGAAACAGGTCTTGACAACCTGCCAAGGTGAAACAGGTATACCTACGCAAATTTTACTTTTTTTATTAAATTTTTTTAATTTTTAACAAAAACCAGCCATAATCGTACATAAAATCATGTATATAACGCTTACATAAACAGGCTTTATTGACTCATTATTTAATAGCCTCGCTCGCAAGCTCGCTCGGCCATAAAATTATTCGTACAATAAAGCCTTACTTTATGTACTTGTTATATAAATAGCTATTATTTATATAAATACATCACAGAGTGACACAGAGACAGTGAGACAGTGAGTTATACAGATCAATTTAGATGGATTTTTGGTGATAACTTATAAATATTTGAAAATGATTAATAAGAAAAATAAATACTTATAGATCCTTTGAATTTGTTATTTGTGACAAAAATCGAAAAGAAGATAATACCTACTGAAAAGACCAGGGAAATCCTGAGCCTTTATATTCCCTACTACTTTATAGCAGTCTCACTATAGATTACAGGCAAAGTGATTTGGCCGTAGTAGGTTTTGTGAGTAAAACAACGGTAATATTTGACTACTAGTTGAATACTGATTTTATTAGGTAAAAATATCACAATTCACATTAATCTAAGTCAAAATAATTTTAATAATAATTTGCCATAATTTTAATTCTCCCTTGTTACGACATGAACCTATTATGTTCCGGAATAGTAAAAGGTCGACACTTTAAAAACTTCAAATCTTCTCAGGGTTGGCAAACAGAAAAACCCAATGGGTTTTCAACACAAAAATTAACGAAATTGTGAGGCAAAAACTGTCTCAGTGTCATTTTTGGAAAAATTTCAATATTTGATAATTTCAATTTTGAAGATTCTCAGCTGCAAATCTGTAGGAAATTGAAATTAGAATCCTAATTGACAGGTTTGTAGAGAATTTAGTTGGCTTTAATTAGAGCCTAATTGCGTTGAAATCGGATGAAAATTAACAGACCTGTGAGGCAAAAACTGTTTCAGTTTATTTTTTGGAAAAATTTCAATGTTCCATAAATTCAATTTTGAAGCTTTTAAGGTGCAAAACTGTTGAAAATCTAAGGTTGAAACAAATATACAATTTTCTCTAGCTGAGTGAACACAAAAACTCTACAAAAACACAAAAACCCGCAAAAACCCAATATAGATATTTTCAAAAACCCGGGTTTTTGCCACTCCTGAATCTTTTACAATGAAACCTGAAAGTTTCCAAAAGCTGATCTGATTAGGGCTTCAATAAATTGGAGAAAGTAATTTATCAATTTTCAAAATAATCTCTCAGTCGGCTTGAAATTTTGCTGTTGGTGTCCCTCAAACACCTTCCAAAATACCCTAAGAATTACAGATACACTCGAAAACTGGATTTTACACACAAAAAAAAAAACAAATTTGGAAATAAAATTTTATTGTCGTCTACTTCAAACTCTCTTCAATAATTCCTAGAAATTTCCTAAATTATTTTGACCAGATCTCGACTGTTGGATAAATTGAGAAAGAGGTACCTACTGAAGACTTATTATTGTAAAAAAAATCTAAAGAGATACCTATTACAAAACATCCGATGGGGATTGTGAATGAGATATTCATGTACTTTCTAGTAATATTTAACAAAATAACATTTTTACCTTGAACATATCCTAAGGCAAGCACCAAAACAAAAACCTCATTACAAATTACCCAGGTTTTTAATTAATTTTTATAGCAAACAAAAGAATTGATGGCTGTTTTTAGCAGCCACAAAATTGTAATTACTTTAATATAAAAGACGAATTTATAATTAATTTCTTTGTTGTACACTTACTGCGCTATCGTCTTCTTTGCCAGGCCTTAAGCCCGAAGCCAACATGTAGGTGCTTCCTATAGTCTTGATTTTTTCTATGCAACTGAATTTAGGCTTGAGAAGCAACTGAAAAAAAATTTTTCAAGTACATATTTATACAGGTATTAGTTATTATTACCTTGTCAAATTCGCAAATAATCTCGTTTAAAAGCCTCAAACATTCCAGGCCTTGCTTGTTAACGTCACTTTCATCGTAAAACTCCTTGTAATTGGGTATCGAAGCAAACATAACTGCCACACAAGAGTATCTTTCGTGGTACAAATCTGTCGTTACTCTGTTTGACAGGAAATGTTCGGCTAAATGGGCTGGCAGTATGTTTTCCAAAAGAATCTATAAATTTAGTTAAGTCAGTTGATGTTTTTACTTCAGAAAAATTTTTACTTTATTAATTCCTCTCATAGTTTCCACTTCTTCTTGTTCGACTTTCAGCTTGGCTTTCCACAAGTAGTCGGTTCTAGATGTGAATTCGATTTGTCTATCCAGTATGTGGAAAAATATCACTACCATGGCTAGGACCAAGGCTGTTTTCAATTCGAATGGTAATCCTGGGAATCTAAGGTAAATGAAAATTATCAATGTAATGCTTAGCGAATTTTCGATGGAGGAAGGAACAAATTTCATATAATGGGTATTTCCATAGGCATGGTATTTCATTCTACAAGTTGTTCAGGGAAATTGATTAGTTTCAAAACTGAATTTGCTACAATTTCTGTGGAAACTAAAATTGAAATAGAGTTTGCAATGTTTCAGCACTTTCAACTGATGTTTTTTCCTCCTTTCGCAAATAATGTTTCTGGATTCTGTATGTTGTGCAGGACGATCTGAACAGGTCACAACATTTAGGAAACTCCTGGTGTCCTGAATACCATCTTCAAATATTGGTATTTTTTGAAACAAAGAATTGGGGACATTTGGGTATTTTGTCCATTATTATAATATCGTTATGGTAGAAGAATTTCTAAACGAAGCTTTGATTTCAATTTCTTGTACCCAAACAATTCAATTTTAGATAATCAAAATTCGAAAAAGATCTAATTGAATCCGAGTCTCGCAAATTCCATTTACACAATATTGCCCTAGAGACAAAATCCCGGAAAATCCGGAACACGTAAACGGCGCCTCTTCCTTCGGCTTTCATCACATTTTACCTCTTTTTAACTCTCAAAGCCAAACGAAATAATTCGTAAAGTAAACTTTTGTGTCGCCCCAGCTCTTTGTTTATTTATACATACAAACCTTTTGACGAAGTTGAATAATTACAGGGACAGGAAATTTACTTAATTGTGAAAATTTACCTTTGTGTTTATAGGTATATCCTATTCACAATCTGTAGTCCAAAGGTACAGGTAAATTTATCACCTTTCCCTATCAAATAGCATTCAAAGGTGATAAATTTTACCTGTACTTTTGGACTACAGATTGTGAATAGACAATACTTACTCATCGTCATGTATGTCTTGTGCGTGGTACTCTTGAAAAAAATCCAAATAGCTGTAAATAATGATATGGGCTGCTACTGAAATGACCATTAGGCATAATTTAAGCAGGAATCCCATCCTTAGGAAAACTGATATTGCGGCCAAAACTAAAGCTGAACTATACAGATATGTCTGCAAGTGAAAATTTGATTATTATTTATTTGTGTTTAAGTACCTAATACTTACTGGTACATAATGTACAATTTCCGGCATATAGTCTTCCAAAATTGTAACATTTTCAGTCAAATTTGATATGTTGTTAGCTCGAAATGTGATCGGAGTGTTTATTTTTATTGGAAACTGCTCAGGATTGTAGTCGACCTAGAAGAAAATTTTTAAATTCTAATTGTCTTGTTGCACATATAAGCTACTTACCAAAGTTATAACGGCACAAGCCGATATCAAAGTGACAGTAACCAAAAAAATCGACAATCTGAGGCATCGACTTTCGGCTACAATTTGTCCTGGAGGACTGCAAGCTCCCAATTCGTCTGATGGAGTATCTGAAGGCGGTCTGGGACCGCAACAACCGTCCAACCAACACAGGTAGACGAAAATTAGGAGGACTACCAGGGTTGGTGCGATGGTACCATAAAGAACGATACTCCTAGAGAAACAAATTTGTTTTTAAATGGTTTTTAGTTAACCTCCTCGACTAGGGTAGCAGTTGAAGAAATAAGTAGAAAGTATGAAGAAACTATTTTCAATCCATATTGATTACCCAGGTAACAAACTTGCACGTTATAGGAATGTACAGGGTATTTTTTTTATGTATTGACGCCTCACCTACAGCCTTTACATTTCCAGGTAGAAGAAAGGTGCAGCTGTAAAAGTTGTACAGTTTTGGCTAAATTTTTAGAATCCATGGGTCAGAAACAAAAATTGGGTATCAGATGCTTTCAGTTTTTTTCAAGTGGGATGCCCTATATTTGGTTCTATATTCTCGAAGAACACAATACTTCGATTCACATTTTTGACATTTAAATTTTATTTCTGACCATGTTTTCTAAAAATTCAACCAAAACTGTACAACTTTTGTATTTACACCCTTCTTCTACCTCTAAAGGTAAAGGCTATAGGTGGGGTGTTAATATATAAAAAAACACCCTGTACAAATAAGTGGATTATTGCGGAACTTATGGGTAGACCTCTGCGGGACGAGCGCAGCGAGTTCCGCAGCCATCCACTCACCAATATACAGTTGAACTGTTCAAATAAGACACTCACCTAAAACGTGTAGTTTTTGAACTAATGAAAATAACTGACATTTGAGTGAGTCAGGTTAGTATCGTACTTGAACCACATATTGGTGAATAGATGGCTGCGGAACTCGCTGCGCTCGTCCCGCAGAGGTTCACCCATAAGTTCCGCAACAATCCACTCGTTTTTACTTGAATAACTTGTCACATTATGTTACTAGTTTGTTAAAGTAACATTACTAATTCCTGCTGAAAGGCAAATTAACAAAAAGTGATTAATCTGACAAATTTGGACTTTATATCATCTTTATATAATAAGTTATTGTTCAAGTACAAATAAGTGGATTGTTGCAGAACTTATGGGTGGACCTCTGCGGGACGAGCGCAGCGAGTTCCGCAGCCATCTACTCACCAATATACTGTTGAACTATTCAAATAAAACACTCATCTGAAACGTGTAATTTTTGAACTAATGAAAATAACTGATATTTAGATGAGTCAGGTTAGTATCGTACTTAAACAACATATTGATGATTTGATGGATGCGGTCCATCCATAAGTTCCACAACAATCCATTCGTTTGTATTTGAATAACTTGTCGCATTATGTTTGGTGAACATAGGCGCCGGAACTCCAAAATATGGGGGCTCGGGCTCCAAAAAAAAAAACACAAGTAAAAAAATACAGACAGGACAGTAGGCTACCCCAGTGAGCATTTTATTCCTAAAACGGAAATGTGTTGTTGGCGACGTCGCTGTTACGTCAAAATGACTTTATTTTGCGTCAAATAGTACACAAAATGTCGAGTGACGTCACAGCTTGTTTGCAGTTTGACACTAAAAAGGAATTGTGCGTAATTGCACACGGTGTAGGAATTGTTACCACACCCAGGGCATTGTGACTTAAAGGAAATTGTTGAGTAACATAAAATAGGAATTGAGTCAAAACTATGCCGGGATTGTGTCTGTGTCGATCAAAGACACAAAATACTTATTTCTGGAACGTGTGGTGTAACACATTGTAGGAACTTTGTTTTTTACAAAACATAGAGAGCTTTTTTTCGACACAAAGTAGAAATTTTTCCTAAGATTTATTCAAAAAGGCACATGTAGGCTCTGTGTAACTTTATTACGGATTATTCACTACTTTCTTCCCTTATTTACACATAATCATTATGTTGTAACGCATAGTAGAAATTGTTTCAGGTTGGGTGTGATGACTTTATTATTATTTCGTGGTATATTATTTTGTTATTAGGGTGAAAAAATCAACTTGAATAATTAATAAATATGCCGACATCTAGCTACTGACTTCAGGAACTATATCTAAGAGCCGAATTTGTAGTTTCTCGTTGAGGTTTTCTCAGAGCTCAAGAAACGACTATAAATTCGGCTCTAAGGTATGTACCCTAAATGTTCAGCTTAACCTAAAATTTTCAAGAATTGATTCAATTTTAAACTGTTTTGGAAGATTGGGAAAAACGTTTTTCAAAATGGATTTGCAATTCTTCGCATTTTTTTTTCAAACGCTAGCCCTACAATGTTTGACATTGGAACATGAACCTCTACCATCTACCGCCTCTGCTGATAGTCCAGGAGCTGGCGTCGAAAATATGCAAGAGTTTTCGCAAGGCTCATATTTTCAGAATGAGTAGTATTTTAGTGCTACAAAGCTAGGCTACAGTCAGCAGTTCCAGTTCCGGGACACCTGGCGCTGAGATGCGCGCAAAGGTGTATTTTTAATCAACACCTCGCAACAGTTTTCGCAAAGCTGAAAATTTGCAAAGAGCATGCGAATATAATGTAGAACCATAATTTAACAGTCAGACAAAGAAATACGGGGACACGTAGAGTCAGCGCGACTTTGAAGTGGTCAAAAAAATGACGTCACCGAAAGTGTTTTCGCATGGCTGAAATTTGGCAAGGTTATAGTAAAAACAATATATTTATTGAAAAAAACAGTCAGACACTTCTATGTCGGGACCCCGCCAATCAGCAGTCGATTAAAGTGATATAGGTGGTAGCGCGCGTCAATAGGCATATAACCATGTCGAATAATAATTTCACCAAAAGTGTTTTCGCATAGCTGAAATTTGGCAAGGTAATAGTAAAAACGATATATTTATTGAAAAAAACAGTCAGACACTTCTATGTCGGGACCCCGCCAGTCAGCAGTCGATTAGAGTGATATAGGTGGTAGCGCGCGTCAATAGGCATATATCCATGGCGAATAATAATTTCACCAAAAGTGTTTTCGCATAGCTGAAATTTGGCAAGGTAATAGTAAAAACAATATATTTATTGAAAAAAACAGTCAGACACTTCTATGTCGGGACTCCCTCAGTCAGCAGTCGATTAAAGTGATATAGGTGGTAGCGCGCGTCAATTGACTTTTACTCTATATATATCCATTTCGATGAATAATTTTATTTCTATAATTTAAATTATTTGGAATCGGAAACGGTAAAATACATTTTTTTTCTCTTAATGAGTAAGTGTAAACCTGTAAGTTGCAAGCGTAAGCGCGTATACTTGAATAAGGCGTATATGCATTCGAATTCGGAAACTTCATTATGGTACTGTTAGGTCGAGATTAGGGGATGGGAAGCGGCAGATGTGATTAGAATTTTTTTTTTGTATTTTATAAAATCGGCGACGATTATAAGTATTTAATGAAACTTACTATAGGTATACTATCACAGTACTGCTGATTAAATGGTCAAGTAATATTTTTATACGAATCGGGCTTTTTTCTAACCGCAAACTTTTTAACTGCATGTACAATTTTATTTTACCGTTTCCGATTCCAAATAATTTAAATTATAAAAATAAAATTATTCATCGAAATGGATATTATATATAGAGTAAAATTCTATTCTATTCTATTCATTTTAATCGACTGCTGACTGAGGGAGTCCCGACATAGAAGTGTCTGACTGTTTTTTTCAATAAATATATTGTTTTTACTATTACCTTGCCAAATTTCAGCTATGCGAAAACACTTTTGGTGAAATTATTATTCGACATGGATATATGCCTATTGACGCGCGCTACCACCTATATTACTTTAATCGACTGCTGACTGAGGGAGTCCCGACATAGAAGTGTCTGACTGTTTTTTTCAATAGATATATTGTTTTTACTATTACCATGCCAAATTTCAGCTATGCGAAAACACTTTTGGTGAAATTATTATTCGACATGGATATATGCCTATTGACGCGCGCTACCACCTATAATACTTTAATCGACTGCTGACTGAGGGAGTCCCGACATAGAAGTGTCTGACTGTTTTTTTCAATAGATATATTGTTTTTACTATTACCATGCCAAATTTCAGCTATGCGAAAACACTTTTGGTGAAATTATTATTCGACATGGATATATGCCTATTGACGCGCGCTACCACCTATATCACTCTAATCGACTGCTGTCTGGCGGGGTCCCGACATAGAAGTGTCTGACTGTTCTTTTCAATAAATATATTGTTTTTACTATTACCTTGCCAAATTTCAGCCATGCGAAAACACTTTCGGTGACGTCATTTTTTTGACCACTTCAAAGTCGCGCTGACTCTACGTGTCCCCGTATTTCTTTGTCTGACTGTTAAATTATGGTTCTACATTATATTCGCATGCTCTTTGCAAATTTTCAGCTTTGCGAAAACTGTTGCGAGGTGTTGATTAAAAATACACCTTTGCGCGCATCTCAGCGCCAGGTGTCCCGGAACTGGAACTGCTGACTGTAGCCTAGCTTTGTAGTACTAAAATGCTACTCATTCTGAAAATATGAGCCTTGCGAAAACTCTTGCATATTTTCGACGCCAGCTCCCCGACTATGATATTTTTTTACAAATGGGGTTGACACGTTATTAGGACGTGTCACGGCGAGTCACCAAATAGAAACAGTTTCGGAACTGTGTTGTCAATTGTTACTGAGATTTATACTAAACACACAAATGCGTAGTAGTGTAACAAAATTCCGTATTTGTGTCATTATTTGAAAAAAGTAGGAACTGTGTAACACCAGAAGGTTGGCGTGTAACACAAGACCCAAAATGTGACTATTAACGCATATAAGGCAATAATAGGTCACTGTGTATAGCTGCCATATTTTTCTTCATTTTCTTTTTGGTTAAATTTCTTAGCAACACTAAAACTCCCATTGTCGCCAAAATTAGGCAATAATTTAATTTAAACTTACTGCATCAACAAAAAATATTACTTAATAAATAAATTTATTGACCAAAATTATTATTATAATTTTTTTTTTTTTGAAAAATTATATTTCAAAAAAATATTTTTATTATACGTTTTTTATTTGAAGGCCCCTTTGTTCTACAATAGTGTATGGAAAAACTACACAGAAAAGCTATCGTCGCAAAGAAAATCGACTTTTGTTAGCTTGAG